TTCGATCCAGAATAAAGGAGAAGGATTACGTTAGGTTAGATTAAAAATATGGGAGGTAGAGTTGGAATTATATCCGTTCTGATAAATCATGTATTAGAAGAAGAAATAATTAAATTTAAAGTGCTTATGCACCATAAATGGGATCGGTTGAGAATTGAAAACACTAAAGGAAATGTTAAAGCGTATGGATGAATTAATTTAGAGCATTCCGTGATAAAAAAAGTTATTTGTGTAAAAACCTTAAATGATCATGTCCGTAAAGATAGCTGTTGAAATGATAAGTAGTTTGAGATCACTAATATGGAGTGGGGAAAGCTCTTCGGTTTTGCAATGTGATATGACCTTATGATATCAAGCATATGAAGACTACTAATGGCTTGTGGAGGCATAGTGACTCATGTCCTTACAAGAAAAAAATGCTAAGGCAATAATCCCTTCATTTTATGGAGGTTGTTCTGTTTTAACTAAAGCTTCTGTCCAATAAAGGGGATTCCTTCTCCCTTTATGATAGCTTTTTTAAGGTGTGTTCCTTTGTAATTGTCTCACTTCACTCTGTAGCGGTGTAAACCTAAGAGGCTTTATACTTCAAAAGAGAGAAAGGGAACAACAAATGCTTAAACAATGAACTCAATAGATCAGAGAGGAGAGATTAAGGTTGGACGAAATGGTTCGACCTATGCTAGGAACTATAGATATGAAACATTATTCAACTTGATATTTTTGTTGAAGTTTGTCAGTGTTTGGGTAGATATGACCAATATTATGGACACCCATGTCAACATTCATGTTAACACATTTGTTCTGGTATCCATAAAAATTGTTTCTGCTTGACTCACATTCTGTATCAAGTGGATAGTAAGTATTCAAAATTGTCTCTGCTTGACGCACTTCAATATATGCATGCATATGTATTAGTTTGTTTGTGTCTGGGCATATGTGTGCTTGTGCGCGTGCGCTTGTGCATGCGTGTGCACATGTGTTGGTGTGCATGTCTGTCGGTATATGAGTTTGCGTATATATATGTATATCTATGTATATCTCTTTGTATGTATGTATGTACACATATATATAAAAAAAAAAAAAACACGTATCTATGTGAAAATGGGTGAATACTTGATTAGTATGCGATTTTAGTTGGTCAAAATATTTGTATTATTATGAAAATCCAGTATGTTTTACCATTATACTTAAAAGAGTATGAAATCTGAACTGTCAGCTTAGTTTCGTCCTTTTTACAAAACTACCCAAATTGCTCTATATCAAAACCATTTACATATGTTGTTGTTGTAAAATGTGTAAGAATAGGTACCATAGAAATGAGAAACATATTTTTGAGTTTTTTTTGCCCCATTCTTTATATTAGAAACAGCATTCTATTTTATTATAAATTAAGGTTATACCTTTGATTTATTTACATTGAAGTATTATCAATGTTTGTTGGTAAATTACATACCCAGTGATGATTGCAATTAAAAGAAACCTCTTTGTTGCTAAATAGTTCATCAATAATTGATCAAAGCAACATCCTTCAGGCATGTTATCTAGTGTTCTTGGAAAAGTCTTACGGTACATGTGTATATTTGTGTGCTCATGTGTGTTGGGTTCATGTTTGTCTGTGTTGTCTGTGTTTGTAGTCGTGCATGATGGTGTGTGTATGTGAAAATAGCTTACGTAGTGTTTTCAAGTTCTCTTGTTGTCTAAAGCTATGGCATATAATTCAAGAGCCTAAGTTATACTGTATTACTGGTGTAGTTAGAAACCAAACTTATTACGAAACCACTGATTTTGTAGTAAGCTTCATGGCATGCTGTATTGTTGAGGTAGTTAGAAATCCCATATGAATGAAATTATTTTTGAATATGCCTTATTGAAAAGCATCCAAATTGAAATCAATCTAATGGGTACAAAGAAAATTAGTGTAGTTTGCTTACTGATTCATGGTTTTGGGTCATGAAATAAGTTTAAGATCATTGTTCATCAAAAGGAGAAACTTACAGGCAGATCATATATCTAGCTATCAAAGAGGAAAGAAGACATATAGTGCTATGACTTGTGTCTTTCAGGAGTAAACATAATGACCAAAAACCTTGAGTGACTTGTCTAACTGTCCTGCCAGTGCTCGCAATAAAGTAGTCTTTCCACACCCTGGAGGTCCGAGTAAGAGAGTCATCCTGCAATCCAGACAGACCCTGCGTAAATAAACTTCCAACTACAGGAGAAACTGAAATATTCTTAGCGTTATGAGAGTAAATATGACTTTGGATAATGATTTTTGTTCATTTTGTTTGTGGATGACTGTGGGAAGCTTCTTTTAGTATCCAAACTGACCGGTCTCACATCTGTTAGCAATCTCCTTTAGATGAGAAACTCATCTCTAGTTGTCACCATTTTATAAAATGAGGCTATGTTTTAACCTATGAGTACAATTGTCCTAAATACTTTCCTGGAAGGCTTGATAATGCCACTGATGTCATTTAGGATGCTTATCTTTGCTTCTTTTGCCTTCAAACCGGGGACCTTTGCAAGACCCTGTTCCAATAACATGAGAATTATTATAAGAATTTTTTTGAAAATAATCAACCAAATGCTTAACTAATGCTAAGATTGCTGTGCTTGATTTTTGGTTTATATACACAATATAAGTATCCTGTAAATTCACTGTGGTGTATGGAATGTAGATGAAATCTGAGCAAACCTGTTTAGGAGGTCATTTCTTTCAATGTTTTAGTATTCAATGGAACCCATAGCTTGTTCAAGTGTCAATAGGCCATGCTGATTAATCTGTAAGTTTATTGTCTTGTGGACAAGACTCTTCATAATGAAATGTAAGGACACTCTAAAGGCAAGTCCTCAGAAACAGAAAAAGAAACACCAGATCAATAGAAGCTGGATTATAAGCACATATCTCACCTGAAAAATGCCTTTGGCAGCATTCCATAAAGTGGGCAAAGCCTTCCCTTTTACTACTTTACATTCTGCTTCCACTGACAAATTCTTGTATCTAACTTCAATGGTGGGAAGTTTCACATTTACTCTGCAAAAATCCCTCTTTGTCAATGCAAAGCCATATCCAACACCATATTTACATAGATTAAACCCATCAGAAGGGTAATTTTTGCATGAAACTGTACTTTTTTGCTGCACGATTTAGAATTATTAGACGTGTCCACGTTTTAAGTTTCATACTTGTATATATGGAGTTATGCACTATTTTTTCTGCCAGGCTAAATGTACGAAAAAACAGAGTAGATTATGATAAGTTGTTTGTATTTGGAGCTTTATCGGACCCTAGGTTCTTTCTTTCAATGTCTTACTTTCCTGTCCTTATCTGATGTTTATCTTTTGGATACTCTGTGGTAAACTTAGCCTACAACTGGAATCTAGTGCAAATCTGGTTTAATTATCAGGAATATAATACCTCCAACGAGGGGTTGATCTGGATTACTAAATGAGAAGCCTATATAACGTAATTTGCACTTATATAATCCACTGTCATACTGAACTTTTAGTTCTCAACCTACTATATGCTTATAATGTTCTAGTTGACTTTTACCTTTGCAGTATGTTGGATGTGCAAGTTGAAGAGGAAACGAAAGTAATAGATATGGCGGCGAAAGGAGATTTTATAGGTTAAGTCTACTTAACCTACAAAATGTGTTTCCAATGAAGATTTTCTGGTTATATTTATTGGAAACACTGGTGTACGTTTGGAAAAAAAGCATGATGGTTAGGTTTGGTGATGGCAGATATGACCAGAGATATCCAACGCATTACAATCTTAGATATTGAACAATCAACAATCCGGAGATATGAATCAAGTAGAAATGAGGGTGTTGAAATGGATGAGTAGTTTAAGAGGTACAATGAGAGAGATGCATGCATAAGTAGTTGGAAGATGCTATTTAGACATACCATATGAATTGTTTGAGATAGCGTATACATGTGTGAAAAAGGCTTATAAACAATGCCAATTAGGAGAAGTAACAGGATCATGATTCATAGATCACCGAGCACAAAAAATAGCTATAAATTAACATGGGGCGTCTATTTCCATGCTTCTTAAATTCTATCTGCTAAACCAATTATTATTCAGTTTAACAAGTTTGATTGGTTCAGAAGTTTTACTATGTTTATTTTTATTTATTTATTTTTTATATTATTATTATTATTATTTTGTCCATCCAAATTGATTACTTCCAATTATCACAAGTTTGTGTGTGAATATCTATTCACTGACAATGTAAACAATTACAGCTTATCTATCTATTCTATTTTTGTTGCTGCAATTATCACAAGTTAGTATGACAATGTAAACAATTACAGCTTATCTATCTATTCTATTTTTGTTGCTGCAATTATCACAAGTTAGTATGCAGATTTCTATTCCGTTGACAATACAGACAACTAAAGCTTACCTGTCTATTCTTTCTCTTTGTTACTGCTGCAGCCGAAGGTTATCGTTCTGAATGTGCTTGATGAGCTTCTCGATGAGCAATCGCCTCTCTGAAGCCCCGAGCTTGGTGACATCAACAACCTTCTTCTTCTTCACCTTCTGATCCTCACTGCTGCTTCCATTCTCATCAACCACTGACTTTCTCACCCGCTCAAAGGTTCCTAACCTCTCGATTGCTGCCCACTGGAGCTCATACTCATCATCTATAATTGAATTTCCTCGGGAGCTTGAACCATTGAGTCGAAATGATGACCTTATGCTTCTTTCAAGCTCATCTAGCTCAAATCCTGGGGACTCAGGTTGGTCTCTGTCAACTGACCGAGCCATTGTTGCAGTTTGAGGATCTGCGGAGCGAGGAGACAGCTGAAGAGTTATAATATGAAGGGTATATTTCACTAAACCCTAGTTTGGGCTTTTGGCACTTAACCCCTCACTGAACCCCCAATAAGTCCGGGAATTCCAAAAAAACGTCAAAACATTTTGTTTTTTTTTTAATAACTTGAACCCCATAATGGCATAACAGCACGTATGAGTTCTCAAATAGAGAATGTCACATGAACATCATAAAGTAGTCATTGGGGGTTAACTGATATAAATTCAAACATTCAGCGCGGTTTTGTTGGAATTCCCAACTTAATTGAGGTTTAGTGAGAGTTTCAAACTTTTTGGGGTTAAGTGCTAGAAGCCCAAACTTAATTGGTGCTTTAGTGAAATTTACCCATTATATGAACGAAGAATTCAGCCGAATGGTGTCAGCCGTTTCGTCACTGCGTAACATAACTGGAGCGGTATTAACGGTAGAAGCATGTGTTAGTGTGCACGGAACGCTGAGTACATTATAATACTGTGAGCTTGAATTTGAACTGGTTTTTTTATCCGATTTGATGCGATACTTTGTTTTTGGATGTTTATGTTTATTACTAACAGAGCAAGTAACATCTGAATCATTAGGTTTGAATGGAAAGGGTTTTTAAAACATTTGAGAAGTTTCCGCGTTTGTTTATTGCAGAGCATGTGATTTATGCTGTGATACTGGTTGTATATTATTCTTGAACCGGCTACATTGTCAAATCCCAGGGTTGTTGACTTTCCATACAGTGCGGGAGGTTCTGATAAGTCAACAACCCTGGGATGCAGATGTTACCTCCCGCACTGGTACTTACTGCAATTTGATCCGTCCAAATACAGATGACCATGATTATTTATTTATTTGTGCATTATGTATATCCAAAAATAGAGAATGTTAGGTATTATACGTGAGGGGTTTCTCTCATGTGTACAAGACTGAGTCTCAACCAAACGGAGCTAAGCAATAAAGAACAAATCTACTTTTCTCACTTCGGCATGAGATGCAGCCAACTACAAGTGGAAGTCAAGTCTAGACCCTCTTGAGTAAGGCTAAAGTGACTGCATCAGATATAGTTTTCCTCTGAAGTATGGCTAAACTAAAGTGAGTCCAAATAGAGGGTAGTCTCGAAAAAAAAAACCTATTTTAAGGGTTAAATTTTGAACTGAAAACTAGCTTTCGAACCCTCTAAAATTAATTTCATGGAGCTACCAGACACACAAACCGTCGTTAAAAAGAACAACCCTCCAAAAAGTGGCGTATGCTGCTTAAGAGTGGACAGCACACGGTATTCTTTAGGAGCTGTTTGTTTTGAGTATTTTACCTCAGGGAGCAGGTAGAAAGCTGGCTGTTTGTTTTGAGTATTTTACCTTGGGGAATGGATAGAAACTTCTCAATAAGACAACTTTGTCATATTGAGAAATTTCCACCCACTTCCCAAGACAAAAAACCCAAAACAAACAGCCCCTTAGTAAAAGGCGAAAGAATAGTTCGCTCTGTGCTCTACAAGTCGAGCGCGGTTTTATATAGGCGAACACCTCGACGAGTCTCTTAAACTTCGTCGATGTGGGACTAAACCCTGCTTCAAATAACTACCTTCGACCCTTTGAGCTTCCCCCGAGAGACCTTTCTACCTTCTCTCCTCGAGCTCGTCGGCGATGGTGAGTTCTCATCGCCCCATTTCGCAAAATCCCTCCTTTTTTTATCTCTTTCCTTGTTTGAAATCAGATGATTGTCGTCGCTAGGCTAGTTTCAATTATATTAAGTTGCGTGGAGATCGGAAACTTTATCTATAGGTTTAGGGTTAGTTTGGAAATCGCTTTCCCCCAACTAAATTTGATTATCACTTTAGCTGGTAACTCAAGGCCACGAAAGGAATAGACTTACATTGTGGGATAATGAAGCCACCAAATTTGTGTGCTTTTTCTTTTTCAAGTGCTAATTGCAAATTTGCAATTTGGAGATAAATGTGCAGCAGGTTGGAGATGAAACTAAGTAAATTGAAAGAAACTGGAAATCTGGGACTAGGGTTGAATGTTTGTGTAATGAATGCCGTGGTGAGTTTAGGTGTAAATTGAATGAAGCCGGGGATGTGCCCGTCTGTCGCTAATACTGCTCTGATTTAGTTAGAAGCATCTTAGCTAAATGTTGGTAACCGAGATTAAGTTCTTATTGGTTTATGCTTCATTATCCTTTCATATACGAACGCAAACTGAGATGTACATAAAAAGAGTACATGAGCAAGTTTTGTAGATGTAAACGAAAACATGTGATGTGGCGTAAAGTCTAGATTCTTGAGGTGAATGGATAGCAACAGAATCTCTTGGACGTGTAAGCTAATGCTTTGCCTGCATTTGCTCATTTGGTGAAGAGGCAGAAGCTATCTATTGGCATGTGTAAAAAAGCAATTCGATGTTCATGGCATTTCCTTTCAAATTTTCCATTATTTTTTTTCATAGAAGCTATAATGACCTGTTAATGCATCACAAACTGCTAGAAAGAGTTCCCATATCAATATTTCAGTGTGGCAATTTCATGCTTTTGGGCATTAGGGAATCCATTGCGGGAGTTATGGTAGTATACTTATTCCTAGAAGAAGGGTCCATCTGTAGTAAATTAGCTTTGATATCCCTTGAAGAGATTGTAATTACGGGGGGAAAGGCCTGTAAAAACTTATTTTTCAGTGATTTCACACAAACATCATGTTACTACTGTCTCAATGCATAACTCATGGTAATACATGACCATCTTTAAGACAGTTGGGATGTGCTCTTTTGCAGCTCATCTTCTAATAAATCATATTGTTTTTTATGATAGCAGATGTCCTTTTGCTAGTGCATGCCTTTTTGTTACATTACCTTTTTTGGAAATTTAACTTCTCTATACAAAATCCAAAAAGAAATCCATAAATGAGAGGATATGCTATCAGAATGGAACCCACAACACCCAAATAATCATGTCGGAACCCAAAATAGTCCTTCAGGAAATTGGCCACTGATTTTGTTTCTCCAAACACCACGATTTCCTTGTGAATATCCCCATACTGTGAAGTAAATAGGCCATTCAAAGTCCAGGACAATGGGCTTACATAGTAAAGCCAAATCCACCACTTTGGTATTTTCTGCAAGGCCATTCAAAGTCCAGGACAATGGGCTTACATAGTAAAGCCAAATCCACCACTTTGGTATTTTCTGCAAGGAAGCACCAAAATCACACGAAAATAAGCTCATAGTAAAGCCAAATCCACCACTTTGGTATTTTCTGCAAGGAAGCACCAAAATCACACGAAAATAAGCTCTATCTATCAGCCGAGCTCAGATATATAAACTTTATGTAGGATACCTTTGGTGTGAAAGTCAAACATTTAAATAGAATAGTTGGAAGATAGTCAACTTTGAAACATACATGTATAAGGGCTAGTTTCTCAATTATTCCTAAGATTTTCATACATTGATGTACCTGTGAACTATGTCATTGGAAATCATTCCTTACACGTTTTGGGATATGGCAAATGGACAGTAAAAATTGCTCCTCTTTCCATGAATGAAATACATGTTATCATGATTAAAAGCACAAATATAAGTTGCAGGTACATTCTAAATAACTTGCAATGGTTGTAAACTAATATAAAGGAGCATCAGTTCCATAATGATATACAGTTAAGAAAGTGAACTCACTGGGCCAGGTATCATGAAGCCTGAGAAGAGATTTATAATAGCATAGCAAGGCGATGATAGTATTGAAGCCACTTGAAGATTTGGGGTCAATGAAACAAGCAACATCCCTAAGTAAACAAAGCAGAGCAATGTGCAGAACATCGTATAAAAAAACCATAAAAACTTTGAAGCTGAAGAGTAGTAACCAATTGCTGGATAGGTGATGGCTGCAAACAACGCTGCTTGGAGAAATACATAGGGGATCTCAATTACCATCTGTAGAAATAGAGGACAAATGAAATGAGAATTTTGCTAAAAAATTATGGAGTCATAAGCAGTGATAATGCAAAATAACACCTGTTTCAAAAGTAAAGCAAACTTTTTAAGGAAGCTGATTAACCTGTGCAAATGAATAGGCCCATGAGGAGTACATTCCTGCAAATTTTTCACGGTATAGAACAGTCCGCTCAGTTAGTATGATTGGCAAAATTGATGAACAGTTGGTTGTGCCCATGAAATTGGCAGCAATATATATTGATCCAAGGATGTTGAACATTTCTTGTTGATTGTTTCTGCAATAAAAAGGTTGGGGAAAAATTTTAGTATTTGAGTGTATTTTTCTTCTTTGTCAGCATTTTGCAAATTTATATGGAACTGGGCTTAGGCTTCCTTACAAATAGGCTAATAGTATAATGCATTTGACCAACTTAACTCGATGCAATAACTATGATATCTTGCATCTCAATGTGCGACTATACTAAATTCCAAGTCCTATTCCTACAAAGTTTTAAGGTTCGCCATCTCCTGGATCAATCAATTGGTCATATCATATCATGCAAATTTCGTCTTAAAAACTTGAGATTATTGAAAACTAATACACTTTTCTCATAAAAGTAATGCTTACATTGTCTTTCCATGCTTCCAGAAAAGCGCAGAAAATACTACTGATGTGATGAATATGAATATCATGCGGACCAGGTTATATGAAGGATTTCTCCAGTATGACAAGGACAGCTTCCAGAGGCAAGCTTTGAACTGCACCCATAGATTTTGTGGAAAACGT